AAAAAAAAAAAAAAAAAAACTGAATGTTTGTGAAAAATAATTAGTATTATGGTTAAACTTAAAATATGTCTTAATATTTATTTTGACCAAAATATTATCAACATAAATAACGAAAAATCAATCTTGTAATTTATTATAATGGATATCAAGGAAATTATTTTAGATATTAAGAAAATTATTTAAGAAATCAATTTTTTCGATAATATCTGTTTTGATCTTATTTGAAAATGTATATATGGAAGCAATGCAATTAATGCATATATTTAAAAATTTTCCAAAAAAATGTAAGTATTAAAATGCTCCCAAATTTTTTACTACTATTTTTAGTAAATGGTTATTCTTATATCTATACACATATAATGAGTCAACCTGTTTACCAAAAATATTAACAAGAAAAGTCAACACACATTAAATGTATTCCATTTTTTGTAGTTTTCAAATTTCAATTTAATTTATTACCCACAAAATTGGTCATCGAATTTAAAATTTAAAATTTTTTATTCCTTATCATTTCGTTGCCATAAAATAGGGTTGAATATAAATTTTGAATTAGGCGAAATACAATCACATATTTTTATATAAATGAACAACCTTATAAATTTATTATATTGTTACCATTTTGTAGAATTCACAATTCCTTCTCATTTTTTTTCGAAAAAATCACTTCGAACTCAAAATAAAATATTTAAATTCCTTATCATTTGGTTGCCATAAAATCCGGATAAGTGATAATTTTGAATTAAGCAAAATACTATCACATATTTATATATAAATGAACTACCTCAAATTTAAATATTGTTTTCTAAGTGCAACATATCTTGAATTATACCCAAGTTAATATATATATCATATCGTTCCCAATTTAAATACTTTTTTTCTTAATCAAAATTCTTAAGATATGTTTTTGTTTCACGTGTAACTAATAGAAGGGGCTGAAGATATTAATTTGTGAAAATGACGAGTTACCCAATAATCAAACTCATAATGTTGTGTATGAGGAGATCTTTAATAATATGTGTCTTTTCTCAAACATTATATTCTTGTACAATTTGCCTACCTATTAAAACTCTTTCATTTATTCATAGATTTTAAAATATAAATAGTGCGATACCCCTTCGATGCACGGGCTAATTTTATTAAGGAATGTATTTGTATTTGGATGATTGTAAGAACGTCAAACACATCTATTAGAATAAAACAAAATGTAACTTATATATTATTGAACAGAAAACAAATACTACAGAAAACAACCTATCTCCGTGTAAACAGTATCTAAGAAAATAAACACTTGACACCTATGTATATGATATTATTTATCAATAAATTAAATTATTTATAAGGATATATATGATATGATTTATGGTGGTTTTATGAAAATTGTATAGCCAAATATTACGGAGATTGCAAAACGTCTTTCTTGATAATCTATAGCCTTATTATTTTAAAATTGTAAATTAGTTAATTTAAGGAAGGAAAAAGTTGTGTACGTGTATGCAATCAATTTCAAATTTGTATTATATAGGACTAAACAAAACTCAAAATTTTAGGACGTTCCAATTCAATTTCATTTGAATTTCAAATTAATATTATCTGACTCTATTTTATGTTTAAATAAAATCCAAACTAAAGTAGTAGCCAAATGATATGGGATTTCTAAATTTTAACTTTCAATTTGAAATTGAACTCGATTTCTATACAATCCGATTTTTATTTTTAATAAAAACGATCTGTTGCAATTAGGTAAAGATACATATTATAGTATTTTTCCTAATTTATTTTTTTTTATTTTATGGTAAATAATTTTTTTTAATTAAAAATGAGAGAATTTTGACTTTTACAAATTTGTCATTCCGAATTTTACCTAAATTAACCCGATTTCTATTGCAATTAGATTTTTTTAATAAACAATGGATCCGTTGCAATTATGAAAAGATATATGTGATAGTATTTTGCCTAATTCGAAATTCTAGATTTTATGATAATCAGTTTTTTAATAAAAAATGAGAAATAATTTTGACTTTTGCAAATTTATAAGTATCAGTCAAAATTTACCTAAATTAAATCTACGAACTCATAAATTTAGGGTGCATATATATCTAACCGATTTTTTTAGAATAATTAAAAAATAAAATTCAAAAACTGCCAAAAATAAAATGCAATAAATGCTGGTTGATTTTTTCTGTTACTATTTTTGGTAAATAGGTTCTCTCTT